GGTGTTGGGTACACGTCTTAATAGGGAGAGGGGGGGGGGCGGAATAGGACCATAGCACCACGGTGGACCAAGAGGCACTACGGCTGGTTTTGGGTGTTTAGTTGTCCATGTAATATTGTAAATCTACGTGACTGCCTGCACAGTTGTATGCGGGTAAGGGTGCAGCTCTGTGGAGGAACCCGGGATGACTTTGCGGTTAGCTGGTGTGAAGCAAGACTGTGTCTTAGCCCCTGCCCTGTTTGAAGTTTATCCTCATGTTACGAAGACTGGTGCAGTTAGTGTCTGTGATTATGGTGTCCGTGTGGAGAACCACGATGGCGCAGGGTTGCTGAATACCCGTCATATCGGAGCGAGAACGATAATGTGAGTCACTCATCCGTAGGTTGTTGTTTACTGACAACTGTGCGTTGTTCGCATACAACGCGGAAGAGTTGTAGAACATGACTTCGGCTCTCGCTTCAACAGCGTCCAAGTTCAAACTCACTATAAACACAAGCAATACTGTTGGCCTTATCCCACCTACACCAGTAATGGAGTCCGTAGGCCTACCCCAAATCCAGATTGCTGATGACGTGTTCCGTACAACATCGAAATTTCGCCACCATGAGAACGTAATAGTAACTGACCTACAAATGAGGAGCAACCTGCGCACCTGCGTATCGAAGGAGGATGCTGTATTTGGCAAGCTGGAATATTGTGTGTGAAAGAATCACCAGCTTACTGTTAGCACGAAGCTGATGGTGTACCGGTCGATGGTGTTGTCCGTTCTTCAATACGGCAGCGAAACTTGGACGTTGCATCGGAAGGACGTTCGTTACTTGGAGCGCTTCTGTCAACAGTGCCTATGTCGGATTCCACACATCGGCTTGGGTGAACGAGTTGCAAACAAGGTGGTGCTGCGCCACAGCGGCCTGTATGAAGTAGACTGCATTCTTCTGCTGCAGCACCCCAATTGGCCTGGTGCATAACAGCCGCATGGATTCGATAAGGATACCGAAGCAGCTACTGTGTAGACAACTTAATGCGGGGAAGCGAAACGTGGAAAACCGAAGTTACGTTACTATGATATAATCAAGGTGAGTTTATCACGAACTAATATTGATTTCAAGTTCTGGAAATTGATAGAAGTGGACCGACGGCAAAAGGAGAAAGGTCATCAAGAGGATGGTTGCTCAAGTGTATGATAACTCACCATTGCATGCGAGAGACAGACGTCGGTTTAGGAATCGACAGGCGCCGATGGAATCTAGCGCATGGTGCTGTAGTACATGCGGTCGCGAATGCCTAAATCAAGCCGGTCTGACAAGCCAACAGCCTGTGACGAACAGCTAATAGACGAGTAAGCCGAATTGATAGCCATCAGCAGCTTCTGATTCTACTTACTAACCCAGGCCAATAACGCGGCTGAGTTCGCACGTGTGTAGTTGGACTGTGTGGGTTGAGCTTTTTGCATTTCAGGTGTTGGCTGCTGATTGATTTCCACTGTGGCTGTGATTGATGTGAATCTTGGCAAGCTGCCTACCAGTGTTTTAGCATTCACATCGTCTGTACTGACGTCATGAGACAGCGGGTCGTTACTGGAGGAGACGGACTGCACGGTCTCCGTGACCATACTAGGCTCAAAGAGTAGTTCCAGTTATTGTGGAGCGCGTTACGACTCAACCACTGTCTTGTGTAAATATGGTACGCATGATTCCCAAATTAAACATACAGGAATGCTGCTACTGTGTATGTTATAGGAGTGCAGACCAACTCCGTTGATGAAACGTGGCTCCCATCCACATACCTCCCGGTCTTATTCCTTCGGGTTTACACTGCATATGGGGTGTGTGCATGGAGCTGCGGGTAGTGCAGCGCAAGCATGCATGCGCAGGCGTCCTGTGGAAGCCGCAGTGACAAACAAATCCATAGTAGGATGCCGCCAAAAACATACATGATGTCGTAAATAATGCCCACGGAAAAGTAAAAACAGAGTAGAGCAGGGTTACAAAATGATCTTTTCGGTATTTCACAGCAGGCAAGTATAGTTATAGGAGTGCCTTCACCAGCCTACCGTTGCTTTTATCAGTTCCGCAAACTTAATCGCCGGTTGTGAATTAGCGAAAATAAATCTCATTGCAACCCTGATCTACGTATATGCTGCATCCAAGTTCATTTAAGCATGGTAGTTAGAGAGTATCCAATGCCACACGGTGGTCAGATATTGTAGTGTTCATCTGCAAAAGGGATGCATAGAATGCAGGGAAGTTTACTTTTCCACTAATCTTGAAATTAAGTGTTACAGGCATCAGTCATTGGCTTGTGATTCAATGCTCGTCGCTTTGCTTTTAAGGATGCTCAGTCTGGTACGTGAACAGAGCATACGTGAGGAGTAAGCTGGGTACCGCTCAGGTCGGAGTTGGATCGATCACATCTTTACAATCCGCCAAATACTCGAGTGTCGCCAAACATTTAGCCGCCCAACGACCGTTGTCTTCTGAAACATACGAACTGCGTTTTACTCTGTTGACCGAGGTAATCTCTGGAGTTGTCCACTGAGAAGTATGTCGTCATTCTTTAAAACACCTGGGGCCAGGTGCCGGTGTACAGCGGACATTCGCCCCCCCTATATTATTACCAGTGGTTTGAGACAGGTTTGCCTATCATCCCCCTTCTTGTTCAATTTCGTTATAGACGAAATTCTAGACTATTCTAAAGAAGTGTTAAACCAGGGGCGTCGAGCTGCATCCAGTATCGAATTCGGGATCCAGAGTAAGTAGACATCGACTTAATCTGCGATTCCTCACGAAATAAAAATAAATCGCTAGCTGTACGCCGTAACTGCGCTTCGTTGCCATGCGGTCATCACCAGTTGCGCACGGTATGAGTACACCGAGACGACGCCCACCTCTATGCGGATTCGAACCGGAGACCTTATAGTTGCAAGCAAGGCGTGCAGACCACTCGGCCACCAGCTACCCACAATATCCAGTGTAGGTTAGAGCTGCCTGTCTCCCAGGTTGGAATGCCTTTCGTACCATCAAATTGTAAGGACTGGCTAGGAGCCCTTAAAGATCATACGTAGGTAGTTGACGATTTTGTTTTCCTCGGAAGCTGCCTTTGCATTAATGGTTTAACGAATGAGGTCTCTCTGCGCGTCTCCAAGATGCGGGTTGCTTTTGCTGATCTCCACCATCACTAGCGTCGACGCGATCTGAGTCTCAGAAGGACCGAGTTTACATTGCCATGGTGAGAGCGGTCCTGCTCTATGGCTGCGAGACTTGGCCTGTTCGCGCAAAAGGTGTTGAGAGGCAGTCTGCCTTTGATCACCGTTGCCTTCTGAGCATTGCTGGTGTACGATGGCAATATCACACTAGTAACGAGGACGTTCGACGGATCTTCAGATCAAAGACATTACCGGTTATTGAACAGCACAACTTCTAATCGTAGACTTCGGTGTCTTTGGCATTTGCTTCGCACGCCAACTCATCGTTTACCTCGCCTTGTCCACTTGGTGAGAGCAGGTCGTAGGGAGCGTTAGCAATGTGGCCAACGTATGGCTTGTGCCAGAAGCATGAAGGTGCTAACCTCAAAGTAGGACGTGGTGAGGAGTTCTCGACTGGGGCGCAAGAATCACGAACATGAATGGTTTGAAATCCTCTCGGATATGACAAAAAATCGTGCGCAATGGCGGACGTTTAGTGACATTTTCCCATGAACACTGTTTTATAATATTACTCTGTTTTTTATTGTCTCCTATACGTCATGGCACTATACCAATTGTAGTATTGGCCGCGTTATATATATATATATATATATATATATATATATATATGATTGGCGGGATCCGGTTTCGGATTTGCCTGTCATTGGTCTGCCTGCGCCGACGGAGCCTTGTTTTAATGCTTATTTTTTCACTTCAACGCCTACAACGAAGGGTCCCGCTGAGAACGTAAGCAGAACCGGCACAGCATTGGTTGGTACGTGGCATTCAATTAACTAACCGCATGCTCACGTGCTGAGTTTCTTTAGTTCAGGGGGTTGGTCTGCAATATTTAAAAATGCTTACTTAGTTAAGTCATGTAAATGTCTGCCTGAACACACTTCTTGTTACTTTCAGGTCGCTTATGTAGATTGTGTATAAATGCGTTAATTTTTACGCGTGTGACATTTAAAAAGAATATCTGATATCCCGAAGTTATCGCGGATTGTTAACAATCAAGATATTGCATATGCTCATTTAGCGAAGAGAAGTTTGTGTATCCGTATGTTTTATTCGATAACTATTATTTGATATTGTCATTTCAAGTGATTGGCTGTTGTTTGACATCCCCGGTGTGGCTGCACTTGATGTACATGTTGACAAGGTGGCTACTTGTCTAACATTCTCTACCTCGGTTACTGGCTCAAGGAGACAGTTAGTCGTTGCTGGGGCGGACAGGGTGCATAGTTTTTGTGACCGTGCTAGCCTCAAAAAGTGGTTCCATGCACTAAGTGTGGAGCGGACTATGGTCCAGCCACCGCCTTGTGTGCGCTTGATTCCCAAATACAGCGTGCTTGTGTTTGCCTGTGAAGGATTGTGGGCCGGCTCCGTTGATGAAACGTGGCTCCCATCCACATGCCTCTCGGTTTTATTCCCTCGGGTTTACACTGGATATGTGGTGTGTGGATGGAGCTGTGGGTGGTGCAGCGCAAGCCACCCATGGCCTCTCTGGAGTCGCAGGCGTCCTGTGGTTGTCCCCGAGGAGGCCACAGTGACCGGTAAATCCGGGACGGGATGCCGCCAACCATATTCGCGGTCCCAAACGAAAGTGCCATGTGTAAATTCAGAGCTAACAATGGTGAAAATATCAGCAGCATGTGGCGTCCGATTCCACTACCTTTTGTGTGATCCCACGCTGGAGACTTAACTATATCCGAATCTACTGTACCCAAGCGCAGTGGACTTCGACTAATTAGGGGCGTGACTATATGCAGTCAGGCCATCCACAACTAATATGACTGAGAAGACTCACCCACTACGGAAGAACTGCAGGAATGAACACTGCTTGGACAAGTTCAATAATGTTTTTCGTCCAAATTTGGAAAAATATCACATGATCTAACCAAAAGGGCCAGAATAAGATAAAACTTAAGGAAGATACAAAGTACGTACGACAAGTATGTACAAGGTTAGAGTAAAAAAGTATCTGACGCGGCGCTTTAGATCGAATGCACCGAGCGGGGTGAACTACAAGAAGGAGGAAGTTAGAAAAATATAATTAAATGACGTCACCATCCAAGTATGACTGAAAGGAAAGTGGCGAAATAGAGAATACAAAATCAGTTAACTGGGCTTAGAAGCATCTAGTTGTTCTCCATTAACTCTAGGTCGATATCGAGAATGGGGATGGTCGACGGCGCGTCACATGCGTTCGCTGTCTCCTCGCCATTTCGTCTGCGGCGACCGATTAATCGAGGAGATAGGATAACCTCATCGGCCGACTCATCAGAGTCGGTTGATGAGAGGGGAATCAATATGCCTGAAGGATTACAGAGATCCATAGGCTGATTTGATGAATCAGGAAATTGGTTAACTCTTTCTGGTGGATGCGTCAAATCCGGAGCAGTCGTGCGGGTGATTTGACCATCCTTGTCATAGGAACCTCTTATGGGCTGAAAGGTAACCTCAAAAACGGACGGAGATGTGATAAACGGGTGTTTTGATTGTTGCCCACCGCAATTCGACATCTTCCCCGCGTCCTCGGGCACAAATTCGGGAGTTTCACTATCTTTTTCCTCCTCTGCCAGCTCCGACAAGTCTGTAAGCTGAGGATATAGATGGCGACAAGAGATTCCATCCGAATCAAGTGCAAACGATTTGCACGATTGGCAAACATCCCGACTGATCTGAGGTTTCCATAGCTGGAATGGTAGTGAGAATAAATTACTAAGCTGGAGGTCATTGTGTTGGGCGCCTGGGAATCAGCAATACGTCAAAGAAAACTGTTTCGGTTACGTAGCAGAAAAAGCAGAGGAAAAGGGCTAGTTATGAAAGTGTCAAGAGAAAAAGTACAAGAACACTAACATGGGTGTCAAGAAAGTTGACTTGTAACAATTTGACACGACCCCAGGTTGAAATGCGACATCTGCTGAAATGTTGGGGCGATATATGGCATGAGACGAGAGGGCAATACAACGCAAAAATTTGTGATTAGTAATGTGTAAGCGCCAGTCCATATGCACAGATTCCTTTTGATACGCAGACCTAATGATTGGTAAAAAATGATTGTTTAACACAATTATGTTCACGAGGGTGACCGAGTGGATCGATCTAGCGTTTAGGAATTAAGTCTCAGCTTTGGTTGGTGTTACTCGAGGGGATCCAGCTGATCGGTGCTGGAGGGCGGATAGAGCACTGGTGATTTTAAGATCCAAGACAAGATGCACCGTAAACCGCATGTTAGTGTAAACAGAGTGCACTCCAGAATCCTCGTCGATTATTTCAGTAACTGCTGTGCATACTTCAATTCAATCGCATGACCTAATTAAGGTTTCGATTGTCGGAGAACATCTTGAGCATTCCAGTTAGGTTTGTATAAACAGCCCTACACATCACCAAAAGGACAAATGAGGAAGATCAGATAATACGCAATTCCTGTACCCAAGGAACCGGAAAGACTTGCACAGAAAAATTCGAAAATGAGGGTCAGAAGTTGGTTAATGAGGAAGTGAGAAGCAGAAGCCAGAATACCAAGAGACACAAGGACGCGAACCCAAATAAAATCGAGTGAGCAAAAGAAATGCTCAGTCAGGGAGCCCAATAGGTATGGACAACACCTAGATGATCATGTTCCCTAACCCATGTGGTAACCGACAGGAGAACTGTAGCTTTGTACCGCTTAAGTACAACTGAGAAGTCAATGCAAGGTCATGGGGGCACTAAGAAGACACGCAGCAATAATGGGCAAGGTAAATCAGTTGGTGATTTAAGCACCGCGTTGATGTGGATAATTAAATTTGTGAACCGAAATGTTGTCTGTTGAACTATCACACTCACTCATTCTACGTTCAGCAGTAGGGCACCTTGCAGAAACTGCGCACTTTTGAAAAAATTACATATCGGAGTCTTTCATGGTCTTTTCAAATGCAAAAATGGAAAAAGAGAGATGGGTTACCGCCGATGCATTTCGTGAGTCACAGATGGCTTTGTAGACAGCTTCTCGTAAGCACTCACACGGTTTGGGAGTACCAACGAAGGAACTATGATGGCGATCAACGGAACCAAATTCATCGTCAACGACATGGTGGGTCATCTGGGTGTGTGAAACTGTTCGTGCGCTTAGCATATACATGTGGCCAACGCGGTGTCAGTTGGAACGAATGCAGCCCACGTTAAACTAAGCCTATAGGTCCATATGATTTGTGCAGGACGTAGTATAACCGCTTCAAAAGACCAACAATATGAAAATGCTTTCTCAATGCATTATAAACTGGAAACGATGGCCAACATGATCACAACAAAGTACTCCTCCTTCTTCATTAAAAATTAAGGAAGATTGTCGACTTCAGGTGCATTGTTTCGGGTCCAACAACGACGGCTTCTTCAGTGCTGGAAGCAGTAGCATCGACACCGGGGCGAGACCAAGCGATTCAGCAAGTAGCGACACTCCTGTCGGATGGATAATTGGCCTTTCGGAAAGTCCTACTCAGTGCTCAAGTCGATGAGTTGGGGAAAGAAGTAAACGTTCCATGTTTTTACATATGGTCTCACTAATTGATTGCCTCGTATTCCTCGTGCTTCGTATGCGCTGGAGAAGCAGATTACTGGTCACAATAAGGCTGATATTCGCTTATGAGCAACCCGGAAGTCACCAGCCCAGGGTCAGTTCAGGGTTGTGGGGACAATGAGATCGAGCATCTAATGGAGTTATATTCATAGTTGTGTTCACGGATTTATATTCAAGCAAGCTAATAGACGCATTGTGGTCCAACTTGTTACTCGAACGAAAACAGAGAGACGGGAAAGCAGCTCCATTAGTTCCTTTAGGTAAAGTTAGAGGCGAATAAGTACAGTACACATTTAATTTATCTCATTCCTCAGTAATAACCTCCAAGCTGCGTTTTCTACATCGCACATAGTGCTTTACATCAGCTTATCCAGAGGCGTACTCAGAGGGCAAGGTTGGACCTCAAGTGGGCTATTACGTTCGCATACTAAAAGTGATTAGATGTCGGAATTTCTACTCCAGAAGAACGAGAGAGAAAACAGTCATTCGAGGTGACGTGTCACGGGGGTAAAGAAGAAGTGGCCCAGACAAATAACAGGTTGAAGAGAATGGGGTGGTCGCGAACTGCATGTTTTAAAAGGTTAGCGTTGCCACAAATCAACACAGGTGTCAACTCGCTAATACTCATACACAATTCGAAATAGTTGAAAAGTGCGGTAAGAAGACGAAAGCTGGTATTTCGTATCGTCTCCTCAGTAACAGTGACAAAGCAGCAAGGACTTCGAGCTGTCCCTGTATGCACGCGCGAGTAGAACACAAAGAAATGACCAACAACCTGACCCAAAAAGTATACCGTATCCCCCTGATCGCTGTTGGCACAAGATTAAGCAACGCACACACAAACTGATGGGCAAATGTCACCATCATTACACACGTTAGCTAGAGATGAGAAACAACCCAGCCATTGTGCCACAGAAAGGGCAAATAAAGCTTCATAGATTGAGCTGACTAAGGTCTGCACATAGGTTTACGATGGTGGTTCATGTAGCCGCATCACAGCAATTGGCTCTACAATGTTAGATGATTCAAACACACCAATGTGCAAACAGAAAGGCGTAGATGGGGGTAAAATCAATGGTGCTTTGCGTCGGGTGGTAGCAGACGGACCTTTGTAAGACTGCATAGATTTCGTTCACCAAGTAAATGAGGTTTATCTGTTCCGATGGTTACCTCTACGAGGTGGTTGAACTGGTCGGGTCGTATATTTTCTTACTGGCAGTAGATAGTGCGTGACAGGACCGGGAACTTAAGTCAGCATCCAAGCACGCCATAGATGGAAAATACTCGGAGGTTGAGAGAGCTATGACGAATTGTCAACATTGAGCTCGAACCCTGTGTAAACGGTATATCAGGACACAAAAGCATAAGGATGAGCAACGATACATATGAAGGCTCTAGGTGTCAAGCAAATCAGTGGCAGATACGTGCAATAGGATAGAATTTGCTTACTTCGGTTCGTGCACCTGATCGAGGATCTGAATGAGGCTGTGACCCGTGAATAATATCATCATGGAAGAGATCACCGCCCAAAGTAGACACGCAGGGACCGAATACGAAAACATCTCCGGTAGAAGTATCGCCGGGTGAAGGGTAAACGGGACTGTGACTCCAGTTACAATTCTTCGAATGGTCACAAGTTGGTTCGACTTCAAAGTTTTGAGCCAAACACTCGCTCAGTTTACAACAGCAATTAGAGGGAGGTACTCTGTGGACGAAACCCTCCGGTTCGATGCTTTTGCGTCGTCGGCGTTTAAGGCCAGCTGTCATGGTCCCCATGGGATCTTGCAGACTGCCCGGCAAGGTTGGTGCGGCTTTGGATACTGTTCCTAACGGACTTTGTTGGTTGGTTGCGATTGACATGGGCTGTGACCAACATCGTAGAAACTGATCACAATGGCTTAAATGGGTGCAGAGAAGTGGGCTTTCCGACCGCTCCGTCATTGTCGAGTGTTGGAGGGCACATGACACAGGATGACAGCTGGAGTCGCGTTCAGTAGCGCAGCTATGCACACCGGGTCGGAAACCCATCTGAAAACCGACAACACTGCGCTTTTAAGTAGGTGGTAAGCACAAAAGGACAGATAGAGGCAGAGAGTGAGGACAACTTAGTAAGGATAAGCCAAAACCATGGTCATCCGTATTGAACATTGATTCCACGTCTCCAGGTTTGCCAACTTTTGACAAGATGACCCGGTTTAATAGAGTGTAATTAGACTTTAATTACTAATAGTGCACAAGATTTAATCTCATTTGACTGTAAAGGGGCTGTATTACCCCATGAAACGATCACCGGCGTATCAGGTGATCTATGAAAATCTATTCTTTTGCAGTGTAGACCAATTTGTAGGACATAACTCTGCGGTGTACAACAAGTTCGGAGTGCAAGCGCCTACAGCAACGCTTGAACAAGGTATTTGTACAAATTCCACACCGCTTACAGGTTACCTTAAATAATGGGAATAATGACTGGTTGTTATTTAATCAAACTAAAAGCCTACCTTATATATACAGCTTCAACGACAACAAAAATAACAACAAAATCAAAACGACAACAGCAGCAACATGACATTAGTCATTTTGACTGATGCTTCGCTACCGTACAACCACGGTGACCTATGGAAGGAATACTAATAACAGGGAGAAGAGAGAGATCTAGCATAAAACTTTAATGCCCTAAACAAACAGGGTCAAGAGCTCACTTTTTATCGTCAAATGCACCAAAACGCAATAACGTCATTTTCTCCCTACATAAAGGCTTTGGTCATCAGCAACTTCTCATGAAATACCCCTAAATTTCACATAGATGGCGAGAATTTTCACTCTTTTTCACTCCAGAGTGTCAGTGAAGTACCTAGGTGTAACACACAGTCGGGATCTTTCTTGGTCACTCCATGATAATGATGTTTTTACAAAGGTGAAAAGACTTTCGTTCTAAGCCCTTCGTTTGTGATCCTCCTCTGTCCTACGCCACTTAATTCGGAGATTTGTCACCGCATGTGTGTTATCCATTTGGACCCATTGCTCCACTGTGATATTTCCTGGTTTCCTAAGGAAGCATTTCAAAATCCTAGATAGGTCCCAGATAGGTCCATCTGCGCACACCAAGCAGCACGCGAGGACACCGGTACTAACTTATCGTACCGCAGTTGAAGCGGGTAGCTCACCAACTCTGTTTCGACCGTAGAGTGGTGAATACCTGGAACAATCTGCCGCAGCCGGTAATAGAGGCGAATTCAGTGGCCGAATTTAAGAAGCTTCTAGACAAACACTTTGCAGAGGCAAAATATAGAGAGCGGAACGATAATTAATACGTTAATGTCCAAGAGCGACAATTGATGCAGCTACACAGAGTATGCTCTACTCGCTGCTTCTAATCAGTATCAGTATTTACCTCGGTGTAATGGAGTTCCCAAGTCGACCTTTGTAGAGATTCTTCTGTCCACTCAAACCGATTCATGCATAAAGCTTACTTCGAGAATACTTACTGATAGAAGTGACCCTCTTTATGGTGTACTGTCTGAGTGTGTATCAACATCCTCGACCGAACAAAGTCAAGATACATTTTGCCTGCACAAGGCCGTACCACTCATCCGTTATTCCATAACTGGCACGTATTTGTGAGCGACCAGACATCAGCTGTCCTAGAGCTTAAAAACATTTTTACATTGTAACCATACTGCTGTTAATGCCACTTATTAATCTACTTGTGTATTTACTGGTTTATTTCTTTTACTATACTGAAAGGGTGTGTGTAAGAGCTGAATATTCACCATTATGGGTTCATAAAGCACTTAGTTGAATCGAAAAATTGTATGAAATGAGATGTCATCACAAACAGCTGGTTATCGTGTAAAGATAAGTCGGCATTGGCGAGACAGCTTCCTGGTGGCTTTCATTGCACCGTAGCATAACCAGCCATTATCCCGCAGATAACAGCACCAAACACATTTTAAGCAAGCAGTCCGACTAGGAGAGAATAAGAGACAAACCAGTGGTGCCAACTACGAGCCATATATTGTAACGTTGCAAAGCAAGCCCAAGGCGGGTCACATGGACTCCAGCCTGGAAGGCGAGACAGACTTACAGTAGCCAGTATTGTAGTCGGTAACCTTATTTCTCTCTGCCAACTTAACTTTTTCCCACATCGAGCATTCATATGCAGCTTATCCTGACGACAATCGGGCAAGCTGGCATTTATGGCCAATAAGCGCATTTTAAGTTCAGATGGCAGCAATGAGGTTAGCTTCGGTAGACGACTCATTCACTGCCTACGACAGTGTATCAACCACCTATATATTACAAGCAAACTGAACAACATCGAAGTACGAGGACTCCCTGTTCTCAAAGGTGACCGCGTTTCCATCGCCCTTCTGAGTCGAAGCACTCAGCGTGTACAGATCGTGGTCCTCGTTGGCATCGCCAACAAAATGTATTGCGCAACTCACGAGACGTTTTCGATAAGCTTAGCTGAAGTCCAAGTTCGTGGGGAAAAAGTAGAAATAGGTGCCGATCCCGACCCACATTTAATATGCAGATTGACAATCGTAATCATACCATTTTTGAGCGGTAAAGTTGACATCAAGGTAATTACAATGACTGCTTCACATAACACGAAGTCCTTCATCGCTCAACTCAACAGTAGCTAATGCAACTCCAATCCAACAGCATAGTCGGTGTACTATGTGTAAATTCTTCGCACATCTTCATCATAAAGATAGGCGTCAAAACGGACTAGGAGTATGGTTCCTGGTACAATACGACTCGCGTACAGACCTTAAGTACAGCAATGGCTAACTAGTAATCTCTTGATTTCATGGTAACGTTTAAGTTAATCGGGGACCTTTAAAATTATTTACAGACATCATTAAGTGGCACCTGCAATCACTTCTCTATATGTTACACTGATATGACAATTCGCTTGTCCCAGCATTTCAATGACATTTGGAACGCCTGAGAGTAGAAAAGGTGTGTCCCTTCGTTTGAGCCAATATGAGATGATCAACTTCACTTCCTCATCACTATTGCTACACTGCCCTACGAGTAATTCTTTTGTAGGTCCAAACGATTGTAAATCACTTGGTGCCAAATCAGGGCTTTGCGGAAGATGTGTCGATGCGATACCGGATGTACTCGTTTTACACGTCAATACGATACTTAAATCCAGTGCGGATTTCAAGTTGTTTGTTCCGGTCGAAAGCGGAAAGCTGTTTTGAAACCATGTAGTGCTCACTCCGTAACATCAGATGATCGTGAAGAGTTGGGTTTTACCGTTTCTAACGAAGGATAAACCATGCGTGCAAGCTCAAAACGATTTTTAATGGTACACTGCTCAACGCGCTAAATGTTGAATGGAATTACAGCTGTGCCCTGGGATCCACTTCGACTGGCATTGTCAGCGATGTTAGTATAGCCATCCTTAAAGAGCTTGCAGCATTTAAATGTCTTACTGAGACTGAGTGGCCCGAGTGCTCCCTAAAGTTCGGCCAATTTTATGAGTTCACTGAATAGAAATTTCATCACGACACGCTGTCCCACATGTAAGGTCAGGCTCTTGTGCGCTGCAGTGAATAACACAACGAATAGGGCACGAGAATAGTGCATTCTAAAGCTACGGCTTCCTTGAAAAATCAAAATGCCAGTTTGACTTGAACGACTTATGTAACATCCGTTAACACCCAAGCGGGTGAAGATAAACTTCGACGTACATATCAAACAGGAATGGTAAGGCCACGGAGTATCAGTCAATGTAGCGTCCCCACATAGCAAAAAAGAAAATGATAGCAGACTGGTGAGTGCCGCGCACAACGGTACCCTGTTTGGGCAGGCATCAGCATTCCGCCGGTTGCAGTACCAACAGTTCGCTGCCGCGCAACCACCACCGGTCGCACGTGGATTAAGGATACTGCGAGGATCACCCTGCCCATACGCAGGCTCAAACCCGCGCTGTCAGATTACAAGACAAGCTTGTTACCTTTAGGCTACGGGCCGGCTGTAACTTTATTGACCGCTGGCTGACTACACATTTCCACGAGTTCAATTCGCCGCCCAACATTTGGAGTATGGCAAGCATTGGTGCACACCATGGTCCAAATAGTGGCACCGTGGCCAATCTCACGCCGCTTCCGGCAGTAAGCAACCGTACTCCTAGACTCATCGCACACTCCAAAGGTATGGATGAACCGAGGAAGTAAGTAACATCTAAAAAGCTCTCTGAGCATGTAACGTACGCCACCGCAAAGGGAGCGGTTCACTGCTACGGCTCCACCACATCGCACGACGTTTGTCCTTCTCAACAGTCGTAGTAGTTTTGAAGCCCAACAAGGTGTTTCTCGTCCAGAAGAACGTCCGACCATCACGCTTTGCATGGCTGAGGATAAAAGAAGACATAAGGTTTAGCGCTCTAAAACAATCCGACATATTCTACTGAATGCATCCTCGTAAGGTAGATTGAAACATATCCAGTTCGACAGTGTCGGTTTTCTGATTCCATATGAAGGGTGTTACTGTTCTTATTAGCGTGGATCGTTTAACTACGAAGTCGGACGTTATCGATATGAAAGACATCCTCCTCCTTGGTTTATCCACACAACAGGCATCCACGTCGCGTACCCAGTCCAGATTACGACATTGTACCTCACGTGCTTGTGTGTGTTTGTGTTTATTGCAATGCCCGAGTGTAATTGCATTTATGCTATCGCCCATCAATCACAAGCCAACAAACTAAAAAACGCCTTCAACGAAGTGCAAAGGCCAAGACGCGAGCAATCGCTCCAAATGTACGGCTGTATCCTTAGGATAGATTATTAGGCCACAAAGTGCAATAAGCATCAGAGTTAGGTTCATCAGTCAAACAGTCGAAGTTAATAAGTCCATAATATGAGAAAAATCAGAGGATATAATACCTCCTCTTGGGTGCGGGTACCAGACAGTAAGGAGTGCGCAACATGATGGCCGTAGTCGAAATATCTGTATTTGTAGCGTAAAGAGCTAAGTAATTACGGATGCAGCATCGACAGTTCACTGTTATC